CATCAACACCGGCAGCCACACCTACACCGTCAAAGAAAGCTGTGAAAGAGTCAGCGAAATCCGTAAAGGAATCAGCAAAGTCTGTGAAGCAAGCCTCGGATGGGCAGGTTCAAGAACCAACAGGCACCGTTGAACTCGAGAAGCACCACACCAAGAACAGTTCCAACACCATCAAGATTTACGCAACAGGCGAGTCCAAGACCCACAAAAAGATTCACACTCATACCAAGGACCACGTTGCCAAACCCTTCGCCACCGGTAAACACCTCTCCGCACACCTGGTTCACCACGAAGGCGCCAACGCCACTCACGTCGTCAAGCACCAGAATTCTCACATCCTACCTTCCGTCGTTGTCACACCTGTGACGGAGTCTGTGACGCCGACCGTAGCACCAAGTGTGCCAACAACGCTGCCAGCTACGACTGTGGCACCACCAACGTCGTTGAAGACCTCTTTCAGTGCGGGTGGTGCTGTCAGGGCTGCCGTTACGGGTGTCCCGTTGGTCCTCGGAGCTATGGCTGCTTTGGTGCTGTGAGCTAATCAGAAACCGTGAGGAGCTTGTTGATGGAGGTTATAGACGGGAAGGTAATAAGCTGGCTCTATGTATATCTAATTCAATTTGTGATAAGGATCTAGGGTCGGGCGTAAAATACAGGGCGTTTGATACCCCATATGATGCCACTGTCATTTACTCCTATCACTCTGTATGATCATGAGTCTTAATAATGGTGACCGCCGGAGCCACAACATCAGTCATTCATGGCACAGATATATCCATCATTTAGGCTCCCTCCACCCAATAGGTATCAAAGCACACGCCACATTGCCCACCCCCCTCTCCGTAGCCAGCAAATTGAACTGCGCAGCCGCATTCCTCGTATCCTGCACATCAATCCGAATCCCCATATCGTTGATACACCTCCTCGTCTCCGGCGCAATCGGATACATGCCCGGCCCCAACCCCAGTATCAACAAATCAGGCTTCGGCCACACCAACCCCAGCACCCCCCACGCGCCCTCCCCGGTATCCCATTGCCCCTTACTATTCAACAGGCGCCCGCGCCCGCCGCCTTCCCACGGCCGCCAGGCGAACGCTTCGCCCGACACGAGCAGCAGGCCGGCGCCGCCGGTTATCTTGACGCCGTTGTCGAGGTGGAAGCCGTCGGAGAGGCAGGCGTCTATCGAGGCCGTGGGAGCGGGCGCGTTGGAGAACACGTCCATGGCGCTGAAGTCTGTTTGGGTGGGTTCGGTGGAGGCGGGGCCGCGGTCGGTGGTTGTGGGGGGTGAGGAGGCGGAGAGCGGGGTGGGGGTTGTTGAGAGGGTGCGCGCATGGCTGCGGAGGTTGGTGGTCTGGAAAGGATGTGGTGATCGGCGGTGGGGTGAGGGGGAGTGCGATGAGAAACGTTTGGGTAGATTTGGTGGTTGTTGGCGGAGAGGGAGGGTTGATCGGATTGCTTCGGTGGCTCTGAGCGCGCGGAGGAGGGGGATGCTTGGGGCTGCCATGGTGTGGCTTGGTGAGTATGCAGACTTCAGAAATAGCTTGGACCTCGAAGCAATTGGACAATGACAGGGCAACTAAAAGGATTGTTGGCTGAACTTTGAGAGTTTGAACTAAATTTATGGTCTGCGGAAACGGCTCTCAACGTCACACAATTTTGATATTTTCTCCGAACCAACCTCATCTCATCTTCTCTACTTCTCTTCCTTACTACGTTCTCTTCTACACTTACATCTTTACTGGAAACTTGCGCTGTGCAGTGTGATGTTCTAAGTTCAAACCTTTTGGGCTTCTCTATCATCATCACGAACTACGTGATATTTCCTGATTACTGATATTACCCCTCTTCCGTACAGAAAGGGTAGTTGCTCTTGAGTTAATTCCGTAAGCTCTCCGAATGCAATGCGATCTGCTAAGTCTACGTCACCTTTGAGAATGGTTCGTTCACCTTGGCCCAGACTGATATTCTTATCAGGTCCGCAAGCCATCACAGAGTTTAGGTATTTCATCCGAGCAAACCCGCACATCATGCCGAGTAGCAAAGGAAGACTATCCAATGATCAAGGTAATGTGCAATGACACGCATGCAACCGGTGCCCAGGACTTTGTCATCTCATTGCATCCAACCCATTTCCTAGCCTTCGATGGCTTGAAAAGGGAGATACAACGGACTATAAAGCTCTTGGGCTGAGAACAAACGGTCGAACTTGATCTGGATCATTCCAGCGAAAGAATCTTGCTGTCCCCATTGAAGCTCGGAAGTCTCGACTGTACTGACTCTTACAGGGCACAATGGCAACTCCATCGCCCGTATCGGAGGATGTGGAGAAAGGCATAGAGAAAGATGGAATGGCGGTTGATGCATCCAGTGACGAGCCGAAGCACTCAGCGCATGCACATTCATCAAAAGAAACAACAGAACCTTTTGGAAGAATGGGGCTGTACTTGAGCCAATTCGAGCGGCAATTGATCAAGTACAACCTCGAAGCACGAGGGGTCCAGCGAGTCGAGCCCCACGAAACTCACGCGCAGACATGGAAGGACTATATCCAAGCCTTCCTTATGTGGGTTTCCGTCAACCTGGCCGCCGTCAACATTACCCTTGGAATGCTCGCGCCAGCAGTCTATTATCTCAGCTTCAAAGACGCCGCATTGTGTGCTGTATTTGGGTCTTTGCTGGGCAGCCTCGTTGTTGCCTACATTGCAACTTGGGGTGCAGTATCGGGGAACCGAACTATGATCTTCACCAGATATACTTTTGGATGGTGGCCGAGCAAATTGATCGTGCTGCTCAATCTGATCGTACTACTGGGATACTCTATGATTGATCTAGTCGTGGCTGGCCAAATCCTCTCCGCTGTATCGTCTAATGGACACATGTCTGTCGTCGTCGGAATCATCGTTGTCGCAGTCATCGGCTGGGTCATCACCACCTTTGGCATCTCGATATACCATATGTACATGCGGTACGCATGGCTTCCGCAGCTCATCGCAATCAGCATTCTTTACGGTGTTTCTGCGTCTCAATTTGATCTGGCCACGCCGACTGCAGGAGATCCTCGGACCAGGATTGGTAACAGGCTGTCATTCTTCTCCCTTTGCTTCAGCGCAGCAATTACCTACGCCGGTGGTGCCGCGGATTTCTTCGTCTATTACCCACCATCTACGCCACGCCTGCCCCTGTTCTTTGTCTCTTTGCTTGGCCTGGTTTCCTCTTTCAGCTTCGCGCTCATTGTTGGTATCGGTCTTGCATCCGGCGTGACCAGTAACGCCGCTTACTCTGCGGCGTATTCAAGTGGCCAAGGAAATCTCCTAGTCGAAGGTTTCTCCTCCTTGCACGGCTTTGGCAAATTTCTTGGCGTAGTCATCGCCCTTGGATTGATTGCAAATGCGATATATCCGACATACTCGAGTGGCATTGACTTCCAGATCTTGGGCAGAACAGCTCAAAAGGTACCACGCTTCGTCTGGAATACTTTCGGTGTGATCATCTACACTGTATGTGCGCTTGCCGGTCGCGATCATCTAAGCGAAATCTTTACGAACTTTCTGGCGCTGATGGGATATTGGCTCGCCATCTGGATTGCCATTATTTTAGAAGAGCAGATCATCTTTCGAAGGAGGACTGGGTACGATTGGACAGTTTGGAATCAACAAAACAAGCTGCCGGTTGGGATTGCGGCACTGATCGCATTCCTTGTTGGCTGGGCAGGTGCGATTCTTTGTATGGCTCAGGTTTGGTATATTGGACCTATAGCGAAGCAAGTAGGAGAGTATGGGGCTGATGTATGTTCCGGCCATCTTCTATGTTCTAATAAAGAGGTCTCAGTTGCTACTCTTTTATGTGTGTGCTAATCTTCGGGCAGATGGGCAACTACGTCGGGTTTTCATGGGCTGCGCTCGTGTATCCGCCTCTCCGATGGCTTGAGCTGAGAAAGCTGGGCAGGTAATCCAGTGGACCTGGACAACATGTTACGCTTGCGACGACTATGAGTGATGACTTTTGACTGTTGCTGTATCTGCTATCTGCTATCTGCTATTCATTCCAGTTTCTCTCTCTCGCAATTGCACTGTGGCACATCTCATTGATGAAAGTGCATTCTGCCAAGCCTTCACCTCTAAGCATATCAGTACCAAGCGATGCACACTTTTCAGTAGTTGAGCGATTCGAATCAGCCCTTCTAGTATCAAAGAGGCACAAGAACCTGCGCCTCCACAATCTGTGGAGATTTTGTGGTGCCAGCGCTAGTTACAGTCTAGCGTGAAAACGCGCTCTGGGCTTCGTAAATTCGCTCTGCAATTACAGAAATACATAAACGAAGTTTCAGATCTTGATCGTTCTGCTGTTTGACATGAGTGTTGCGTCTTGTGTGTCATTTGCGTTGCGCTTTTCAGTCATACCCACCTGAATCATGCATTGGGCTAGAGATCTACCACGACCTTTTTTCCCTAAGGCTCCTCGCAGGTCTAATTCTTCGACGTCTTACGTTCTGTATCCCTTCCGCAAGGCTGATATTAGGGAACCCATTCTTTGGCTTGATAACAGTGCATTTTGTTCACGAAGCCGTCCCTCTCGCATTGCTTCTCACGAATCTTTTGCAGACCATTTCGAAGTCCTCCTATTGACAATCCTGCGGTAGCCTCCCTTGAAAAACCTCGCAGCACGGACAACAGTATTGTAGAGAAAGGCAATGCTTCGAAAGGATCTTGGCGCCATACACATTTCAACCTATGGAAACTCTTTCTTCTTGGTGCGGCTATCCTTATTGCCATTGCCCTCGGCGTCGGCCTAGGAGTAGGTCTAACAAATGGTGGTTCATCTGGCGGCGCATCATACTCATTACCGTCCAATATCACAAGCAATAACGCCAGCACTATTGGTTCCAATGGCCCGTTCTTGGTCTCCCACCACATCCAACTCCTGGCAAATTGAACTAGCGCATCCTCTCATCAATACCAGCTTCAACGCCTCGGTCTATGACATCGACATGTTCGGCAACAATGCTACCACCATCACCACTCTTTACAATCAGGGTCGAAAAGTAATCTGTTACTTCTCGGCCAGCAGTTACGAGAATTGGCGCCCGGACGCCGGATCCTTTAATAACAGGACCGACCTTACGAAACCGCTTGATGGTTGCGCAGGCGAGCAGGCGAATGGTGGCTCAATACTAACTCCACCGACTTCCGCAACGCCATGCTTTCGCGGCTCGATCTGGCGGTGACGAAAGGCTGTGATGGTGTCGATCCTGATAAAGTGGGTGGTGACAACGATAATGGCCTCGGTCTTACGCAGGCAGATGCTGTGGATTACGTCAACTTCCTAGCGGATGCGGCTCATGCACGAGATCTATCAGTCGGCCTAGAGAACGCGGGAGAGATCATCCCGCAGGTTTTGGAAAGGATGCAATGGGCCGTGAATGAGCAGTGCGTACAGTATGGAGAGTGTGATACCTGGCAGCCATTTGTGGAAGTAGGGGAGCCGGTCATTCATATTGAGTATCCGGATGGAGCGCCAAATGTGGCAGCACAGAAGGTGGACAGTATTTGTGGCAATGATGATGCTAAGGGGTTTGAGACGGTGTTGAAGGAGATGAGTTTGGATGATTGGGTTGAGGGTTGTCCTGATGATTGAAAAGAATCGAGATTGGTTCGACTGTAGCCATATAGGGAATACTGTTAAGTTCAATAAGTGTGAGTTCATGTCGAAAAGGCGTGTCTTGGTGGAAGTACTCGTAGAGTACGACTCCATTCACATTCCGCTTAAAGACAAAAACTCGAAAAGCATGCGCGTACCCCTCGAATCTTCTCTAGTTGTCCTTGCTGTATGCTTGCCAGGAGACGTTGCCACGCTAAGTGCTGGTGACCCACTTGCTTCATTTCGAATACATATGTGTCATGCCCAAAAGATCATTATCAAAGGATGCTAAATCGTAAAATACAATACCTTCCCATCGTAACGGCGCAGATCGTCCCCAGTCCCCACGTCGTCCGCTCAGCCCTCCAAATCATCATCTCAAATCCAATGTCATCTCGTCACCTTGAGGCTGATTAGAAAGAAAACTTCGTCCCTAAGCCACCATGCCCGAAAGCCCGAAGCCCCTCTTCTCCGAAGACCGCCCCTCCTCCGAACAATCTAGCGAACGACATGTGGAGGAGGAAGACGCCTTACTGACTGGCCAACATAAACCCCAACAGAGCAAATACGGCTGGCCTTTTTGGAGAGAAATCGGGATATTTGCTTGGGCCGTCATCGCTACAGCCGCGGTGATCGTCCTTGCGGCTCTATACCAACACCAGCAGACGTCGCATCCTACAAAGTCGGGCGGATGGGGAAAGAATGGAAAGCCGAGTGGAAAGAGGAATCTGATATTCATGGTATCAGATGGTATGGGACCGACTAGCTTGTCGTTGACGAGGAGCTTCAGGCAGACGCAGAGCGGTTTGCCGATTGATGATGTTCTGGTATTGGATCAGCACCTTATTGGGTCCTCGAGGACGAGGAGCACATCGAGCCTGATCACTGATTCTGCAGCTGGCGCTACGGCCTTTTCGTGTGGAATGAAGAGCTATAATCATGCTATCTCTGTGCTTCCCGATCATTCGCCCTGCGGGACTGTGCTTGAGGCCGCGAAGAAGGCGGGATACTTGACAGGACTGGTGGTTACGACACGCATTACGGACGCCACGCCGGCGTGCTTTGCCGCACACGTGAACCAGAGATCAGAAGAAGACCTCATTGCAGAGCAGGAGATTGGAGAACATCCGCTGGGAAGAGTGCTGGATCTCGTGCTTGGGGGAGGGAGATGCCATTTCCTGCCTAATACCACGGACGGGTCTTGCAGACACGATGACAAGGATGTGGTAGCTATGGCGAAGAAGAATGGATTTAGCTACGTGGATGATCGGAAGAGTTTTGATGGACTGAATTTTGGCAGTGGTGTCAAGTTGCCGTTGCTTGGATTGTTTGCCAAAACGGATATTCCGTATGAGGTCGACCGCAGGAATATGGATGATGTCTACCCTTCGCTTGATGAAATGTCACAGACTGCGCTGAGGGCTTTGAGTGATGCAACGAAGGACAGCGATCAGGGTTTCTTTCTCATGATTGAGGGAAGCAGGATTGACCATGCTGGTCATGGGAATGATCCTGTCGCACAGGTGCATGAGGTGTTGGCATACGACAAGGCCTTCACCAGTGTCCTCGACTTCTTAGACAAGGATACCGTGGAGGGTGTACTCGTTGGCACCAGTGATCATGAAACAGGCGGACTGGCGACGGCTCGACGTAAGCATCCTTAAACCTCTTATGACTTGGATTCCAGCTGACCCTTCACAGAACTCCACGACGCCTACCCTGTCTACCGCTGGTATCCTGACATGCTCATCAACTCCACTCACTCCGCCGAAAATCTTGCCTACCAACTCCGTGATCATCTTGCAAAGCAAGGCAAAAGCCCAAGAGAAGACCTAGCAACCTACATCCGCGAAAAGCTCATCGAGCAAGGACTGGGAGTCTACGATGCTACGGATGACGAGATCAATCGCTTGGTAGATAACTCGGATCCATGGCCTGCCTCCTACATCTTTGCGGACATCATTAGTCGGAGAGCCCAGGTTGGGTGGACTACGCATGGCCATTCTGGTGCGTTCCCTCCCCTCTCTTCATTACGAGCATAGCGAGACTAAAAGTAATTACAGCCGTGGACGTCAACATCTATGCCTCCAGTCCCAAACACGCCCATCCCCTCATCGGCAACCACGAGAATACGGAAATCGGCATCTTCTTGCGGGAATACCTAGACGTGGATACCGAAGCCGTGACAAAAGAGCTCAAGGAACAGTTGGCAACTTCGTCGAAATTTAAGAACTGGCTAGGAAAGCCGGTCGATGATGTGAAAACGATGGCGGATATGGATCATTATCAGGGAGATTTTAAGAGAAATCTGGAGTGTGGATGTGGTGCTGTACACTAGTGGCCATGTGCAAAGCTTAACCAGCAAAATCGGTTAGCGGGAGTGTGCTAGGCGTACGGCTGATTAGTAGCGGAAGGACGGATGGGAAATGTTTGTATTGCTAGATATTCTTGATACCCATCCAATTCATCCTCATTTCCCATCATCATTCCACCCCATCTCTAAAATCCCACACACACACACTTACAAAATCCACGTCGCTGATGGCATGCAGGCCCCCAAACCTGGACAGACGGAGGGTCTGCATCCTCACCAAGACCGTCAGAATCCCTCCTCCGGTGCCAAATCCCGAAAACGCCATTCCCCGGTCTCGAAGCAAGATCCGTCGCTGATTACTGTATTGTAGAAGGGGTCCTTCTCTACCCCTCAGAACCCTGCCGACGACTCCTCCTCGTTTTGGTTTTCCTCCGTACCGTCGAAATCGTCACCGACGTCGTCGATCGGTGAGCTGGTCGCTTTGTTGAGATCGGATGGAGGGAGTCCGTCGCGCTGGTCTTGGGGTTGGCGGTCGAGAGCGATGAGGGGAGCTGTTGGTGTTGTTAGTTTGAGGTGAGTTTGAGGTGGGGAGGGGGGGGATGTACGTGGTGTTTGGGTGGATGGGTCAGCTGAGGGTTCAGGTGAGCGTGAGGAGTGGTTCGTTTGTAAGGTTCAATGGGTGACATACCTGCAGTCTGTGTCGTTGCTGGGTTCGGAAGAGCTGATGGTTGTTAGGTTGTTTCCCGGTATTGGTTTCAGAGGACTTCATCTGTCTCCATCGTGGGGTCCTTACCAGCACATATCGTCTCCATGCTAGACGAAGTTGTCAAACCCACTTTCTTCGCTCCACGTTCTCCGTCATTGACAGCTTCGTCAGATTCGTTGCCCGTTTTGTTGGCCACTGCACCTTCCGCAGAAATGTTGTCTGTCAAGGCATCAGTCTTACTGTCGCGATTTTATGTACAAGGTTGACAGTCTCTAACCCTCTTCGTCGATCACCTTCCCCTTTCCCTCGGAGAAATCCCTCCTCAATTTCTCCCTCATCACTTCCCTCGCCCTTTGCCTCCGCGCCTCCGCCATTTCCGGTGTCTCCACCGGTATCGGCTTAGGCTCGTCGACCGGGTCATTCACCAACGTTGAACAACTTTCAGAAACCTCGGCAATATCTGCTGACGGTTCTGAACCCTCCCCTGACAACGGCTCCTCCTCCTCGAAGGCTTCTGGCAGCCGTCCCAGAATATCTTCGATTGAAGCTTGGTCGATCTCCTCCGGCAGCGACACCCGGCTCATCTCGCGCAAGACCTGGTCAAGACTCTCTGGCACCGGCACCAGCACCGTTTCCGGCACGTGCACCACTTGGCCATTCGGAAGGGTATGTTTCCTCACGAAGTTGTCACCGTGCCAGTCAAACTGGTCCGCGTGCAGGTGACTGACATTGCTGTAGTCGAGTACAGCCCAATGTTCGGTGTGATTGAACACGTACTCGGCGGCGGACTTGGGGTAATCGAAACTTCCCCAGTTCTTGATATTGTCACCCGCCCAGGTTTGCTGGCGGTATGTGTCCAGGTCCGCTCCACTCCATCCTGCCAAGCACTCATGATTGCATGGCTTTGGGTGAGTGATCGCGTCACTCCAAAGGTGCAAACGGTGCGTCAGTAATCCGGTTCCATCCCATCCCGTTAAACATTCTGCGGAGAAAGGCCCGCCGCAACCGAAGTCCACGTTGGTGTATCTGACATTTGGCATCGCGAATCTCCTGTCTCGTGCTTGGAAAGCCTTGACATTCTGAACATGCCGGTACATGTTTAGCGGATAGTTCAACTCTTTGTGCCGTCGCAGTGCTTTGGGACTGTGCTCTCCTGGCTTCGCGCGGTTTGAGCACTGGTCCAGAACCGCTGCATCATTCTCGATCTGCCATTTCTGGAAAGGACCGAGGCCGTTGTCGAGCATGCTGTTGTTTAGTAAAATTCCCGCTTTCTCTTCCTCCCTGATTGTTCTCCTCGTTGGACCGTCGCGTGGTCTATGGACGATAGGGCACGACTTGGGGATGTCCACCTTCGTTCCACAGTTCATATCGGCCGGTAGGTAAACCACTTGGTCGTGGTAGAATTTCAAGGCGAGCTTGACTGGAGTGCATGTCAAACTTTGTGGGACGGCGATGGTCGGGTGATAGTCTTGGAAGAACACGTTCGGTTTGGCTGACGGTGGCAGCTTTGGGAAGTGATGTCCACAAGAGGTCGAGAGGTAAAACTCGTGGATACACATTATCCTATATGTGAGTCGTCTTTGAAGGTAGGAGGAGTGGTAATGACAGATGTAAATGTCTTTGAGAAGGGGATAAAGAAAGTGATGGTAGATGTGAATGCAGATGCGTGTGACAGATGACAGATGTAAGTGAAACGCGAAACGGAAGGGGCAAGATGACGAGGGTAGGAAGATCCAATGCACAGTGAAGCCTTCGGTTAATGTGGCAAGGGGTGAAGTTGCACAAGGGAATCCGTCACAGGACAACGGTAAGATGAGGAGAAAGCAGCAAGTCTGCGAAAGAGAGTTATGCTCGAGTATGTGAGAGGGAATCGGTGCCTTGCAACAGGATGCTTGATGGCTCGTGCAGTGTAGTAACAAGGGGATGTACTTGGTACCGGTGCTTGATGTATGTCTTTGCTGTTCTTGTTGTCGATGTTGCTTGCTGTTGCAGATGATGAAGATGGTAGGTTTTGTCTGGACTTGTGCAGCAGAAGAAGTAGTCCTCGGTGCATGCAACCAACCGGATAAAATACACAGCCCGTCTTCGCAAATTCACGTGGTACAATGGTTATGTATATATAGTGACAGCCGCGGTAAACGATATCACTCTGCGCGGCTAATGTAGATGTGTGACTGAAACAGAGCAGAAGTGACACTGCGGCACAATGTTGTGTGTCACTTCCGTAGCTAGCGTCGTAAACATAAACAGTGTTTTGGATATACCAGAAACAGCGTCTTAAAGTAGTATAGTACATCACTGCCGCGGCTATATGGCATGTATCAATGCTACTGCAAACAATACGGTTCTAGAGGTAGTTCTATACAGTAGTATGTCCATATCGAGCGGCTATCGTGCGTGTTGTTGTGAATATGACCGGTGTTGTGTACAACGGAAGAAAAAGTGATGGAGTCAAAGGGCCGGGGACTACGGGACCAACAAGGAACCTCGGGTGAAGGGCCAGAGGTTACAGACAATGAAGGAAGATATCGCATGAATACGGTGGGAATGAAGGGGAGGCACTACAAGCGAGCAAATGCGGCTTAGTCTAGTATCGTAGGGGAGTGATAGTGGTAGAGTTGCTGCGTTTCGACTGCTGTACTACACTCTCCGCATGGACCTGTGCAAAGACAGGTCCGACGCTATGGCCAGTATGGCTTTCACGAAGAGTGATTGGGGAACTGTAGTCAAGGTCGAACGAAGGTCGGGGATGAGTTCGAGTTGGATGGAGATCTAGGAATGGATTACAGGATAGGAAAAGGCATCTGGAATAATGTTGGCCGGAAGCGTTGTTTGAGAAGGGTCGGAAGGATGGGAAATGAAGGAACTGCGGAGAATGAAGGGACTACGACGAATGAAGAGGTATCGGGGATGAACGCATCGAGAATGAAGGGGAGTTTCGGAAGCTATTACGGGATGAGGGGGGTTCTAACGTGGCTATCATCCGTATTGAAGGAAGTTGTGAAGCTGATTCTTGGATGAATAGGGATCTGGAAATGAACTACAGAGTGTGAAAGCGAATCTGAGATTGCAGTGAAGGTGAAAGCAGCTTTAGGGATGAGTCTAGGGATGAGGCGTACTTTGAGGAGGTTAGAGACTACGCAACCCGAAGGAAGTATCAGGAGTGATAGCGCTGAAGATGAAGGATAAATTAGGGAGGGTGCATGGAGAAGAAAGTGATTTTGGAGAGCAGAATGTGGGATGTGGGAAGTGAAAATGAATGAGATTTTGGAAAGAAGTTCAGGATCTAAAGTGGCTTATTGAGGGTTAATGGAGGTAGGATAAGTGCTGACAGAAGAAAGTGAAGTTCTCTTGTGCAAGAGTTGAGGATATGGTGTATCGGAAGTTAGGAAATAGAGAAACATCAATAGGATTAATCCATAGAGAGTAGTGAAGATACTAAGGTGATGTAGAGACTACAATCGAGGAAGGCTCGGGCTATAGATATTGAAAACGAAGCGGAGGTTGGGGAGAAGCCACGGAGATCGAAGGGGATTGGGCTTGTCGACATCGGAAATGAAGGGGGATTTACGGAGTAGCTACGGAGAACGAAGAGGGAGACCTTAGGTGTGAAGTCTAGGGAACGAAATAAGGTCGGAGAGGCAAAAAGGATGGACTAAGGTGCTTGACTCGCTGGATCTTTGGACTTCCGGCATTTGCTCGGGAATTGATTTTCCCATCTCTACCATTTATCTACAACGTGAATGGATTTCAGAATACATACCTGAAGGATTGGCATCTGCAAGGGGGTCAGCCTTCAATACTCGCCATGATTGGCTCGAGTATGCTTCGGATTCTGACATGGACATGGGAATCAGCCCTTTGATACTGGCCATTCGCGAAGTAAAGAGCCTTTCGGCACTGTCCGATCGTATAGCAATAGAGCTTTCAATACTGTTGTTGGTAGTTCGGGCAATCGTTTGACAACTCGCCACTCGGACGGTCAAAACCCCCTTCGGCACTCGCTATTCCTGGTCCAATACGCCCACGCTTGTAACACGTTTGGTTTATGGAATACCCAGTATATATCAATGACAGGTGATCAACCCCTTCATCTTCTACCAATCCTCAAACAGCAAACCGGAATGTCTTTGACTACGGGTTACAATGGATCCTCTTTTGCCCGCCGTTTGCAAAGGGGGCGATCGCTTTCACTGTTCACTGCGGCTCGCGGTAGGCGTATCAATGCGGAGGTACGAGGTAGGTAGCAGAGCCGGAATGGGCATTGAGTGAATTGATAGAGGAGTACGCGGTCGAGGGGATGAAGCGGTGGGCTATGTATGGGGCAGTGGGAAATGGGAGATGGGCTGGAAAGTATTGGATACAGAGCTAATAATCAACGGTCTATTGTAAAACACCCGAATGCCATATCCATGTCTCGATCAAACCCACGGCGAGCGACACCCATTTTCATATCCAATACTTGCTCCAACCCATCCGCTGCCGGCCCCATCACTTCAAGCGCGCCCTCCGCCACATTTATCGTGTTCACCATGTCCACCCGGTCCTCCGTATCCCGGACGGCCGTGGTTCCGAGCCCGTCTCACTTTCTTCTCCTGATCGATGAGGTCCTGGTGCTCCGCAATGTCGTCCTTCAAACGTTTGATTTCGTCCTTCAGCGCCTTGATTCGTTTCTCAAGCTGCGCCTGGAGGCTGTGAGAGGCGCATTTGCCGGGGGTGATTCTCTCCCGGTGGACAATGAAGAGAGGGCAGGCTTGGGGTGGGCCGTGGTGGTGGTCGAAGTCGTGGTAGACGCTTCGCTGCCCGGCGCGCGCTGGCCGGCAGGGGAATTGGAAGGCGGGGGACTGGGATTCGCAGCCGCATTCGAAGTAGAAGATGTTGTAGTAACACATGGTTGATGTTGAGTGTTTCTGGATTAGGCTTTTGTTGGTGGTGGTATGCTGGTGGCGGTTGGGGGTTTTGTGTGTCTTTTAGTTGTGGAGGGTGTGCTGATGAGAAGAAGAGACGAGTTAACGAATGGGAGCATAGCGTAGATATATGCAGCGGTTGAAGTTTGCAAAAGATGTCTAAGAGTTCCTGGATTGCTGTAGCGTTAGCGGGAAGGTTTTCCATGTCTCAGACTCACAAAGAACGCAACATGCAAGATTAGGTGTGGATTCTTGTTTCAATTTCCCAATGTTTCTTTGGACTGCCGACAACGCTGAGACCAAGGTTTGCTGAATTGATTCAAAAATGCACAGATCGATGTTGCCTGTTCGGAACAACAGTCCTCCTTGTTCGGAGCAACAAAGCAGGCAACCTCCACAATCGGGTGTAGAACAAGGACCTTGTTTCAGATTCCGCATGTCCCTCCTTCCTATCGCCCTTTTCTTACACGAAAAGATTCCCGACAAGATTCGCAGACTTGCGTTCGTCCCATATGATGTTCTTGGACATTGACACCTTGCCGGGGCCAACAAGGATCGCGCCAGTTGACATAGACCGTTTGTCCGTTGGGGCGATCAAAACGCACTGGATACCACGCTCGTGTTTGGCACTGTCTTTTGGATCGGATGCCGCTGTTGTGACCACAAGCGGCGTAGAAGAAGATGTCGTAGGTACCTGGATATGCTTTCAGAGTCAGTCTTGCTTGTATGATTGGTGATATCGAGCTCTCAAACATTTCTCGAGAGTAAAACCTCCCAAGACACGTCTCAAGAGTCAGGATCTGGTTCAAAAGAGGACATGGACCCCAAAAACACGTACACATGGTCACGTTGTTACCACGTGGTGTGTTGCGAGCAGTCGAGCAACAGCGTACCCACGGTTGTAGGTGAGAAAACCAAGTCGAATTCGGTCAACGAAGATGGTAGACGGGCCCTGGTGAGATGTAGGACAGCAAAATTAGTATATTAGGAAGAAAACTTTCAAGACAGAGAAAGCGCCGGTCGGGTGAAGTCCTCAAATGTAAGAGAAATTAGTCCGGGAGAAAAGGAGACACCTGTGGCGGAGCTTGCTGCACTGTTCCGTGGTCCGAAGGGAGGTCCGGTAGAGAAGCTCCGATGAGATGGGGTTCTCCATAGCTCATTCCCGAAAGATGCTGCCCGGGTAGCTCTGCTTGACCTTAACTGAAGAAGCGTCTCTAGCAACGTACGATCTCTCAAGAGATACTACCTAGATGACTCTCAGCGCCAGCGGTAAGACAACAGGGATATAAGGATATAAGAAATGCCTGATAACACCACAGCATCTTGTAGAAAATTCGGGCCATGATCCGCAGGCTTGGATGTTGGGTTGCCTTCCGACTCGCGATCTACCACAGAGTGTAGAGCACGCTGCGACCCTTGCCCAGCAGAGAATTGATTTGGGAAGATCTAGAACCAGGGTCTGAGATTACAAACGCTGCAGGCTACGGAGATCCATCTCTGACAGGGTTGCCGGTTTTTTTCCCCTCAATGTAGATTTATTACTTGTTCGGTATGAGGAGCCAGTCGGCATGGTAGTGAGGCCAGATCGTGTCAGAGACCGTCCACCATGTCACACCAAGAACTTTCCGCTGCTCGCGTCTGCAAGCAATTCTTGATAGGCCAACCGTTGACGGCAAACGGCGGTGGAAACATTTATTATCTAAATCAAGGGAGAAACTTCACAGAGTTTTCAATAAGAGATGTTGAAACCTCGTCAGGGTACTGTCGACACAGCAAGCCTGAGTCCTCTTGCGACGCCGAAAAGTACGCTGAGGCTGAGGGCGCAAGAGAGCCAGTGCCAGGTGCTACACTGCTTGCATGTGGAAGCCCTGGGGCTAATGTACAATGTTCCTTATTGACAAGTATAATACTAGAGGCTATGCAAAAAGACCGTTTCGGTAATTACAATACCAATCGCTATCAACATGCACCCACGAATGACCGCCAAGCGCCAGCTATGCAAGACAAGACGCCTATTTATCCTAAATGAGCGTGACTCCCCCAATGACCGTGTCTCATCCGAGAAAAATCAAGCCCACATCATGAGCACACCAATAAACGCGACCAAAGCAGCGAAAATTGAGCCTCTCGTGACTTCTTCTCCCTTGGATGCACCACTGCCTTGCTTTTGGTCTCCTTGGTCAAAGCCACCAATGCCTGTCGCAGCGGTGCCAGATGCACTTGACGTTCCGCTGCCAGAGTCTGAGCCTGAGCCCGACCCTGAGCTAGAACCGGACCCCGAGCCCGAGTCACCGCCAACTCCGGTCCCATCTGTGCCACCTGCACCTGACAAGCCTGGTACGGTTGCCAGATTGGTTGGTGTTGCTGTAGCTGACCCTCCTTTTGTTGACGATGTACTTGACGGGTTGGACTTTCCCTTGCTCATATCCGTACCGTCCGCAACGAATGACCCGAGAATAGTTGGGTCGTTTGTGAGTTCGATGTCGCCTTCCAGCCCATCCACGTCGCCGTACTTGTATGATACGGTGCCAGTACCGTTCGCGTCCGATGGCGCTGGATAGCACTCCACGTTGACATCATTGTACATAGAATAGAAATAGCCGTTCGTCTGGACATCCTGCGAATTCCAGTTGATCAACCCCCCAGCCCAATCAATCGTGCCCTGCCCGCTCTTGGTTGTACCAGCAGGCCAGAGGGAGAGCTGAATACGGGCAGGTGTTTGTGGGTAGTGATATTTATTGTCCGTTTTGTTGAAAGTATCGGCCTTGTTCAGGACACGTGAGGCATTGCCATCCACAGACCACGTCAATGATGTTGGTGTCCAATCAACTTCGTATGTATGCCAAGCGCTAAAGGTATCCCCACCTTCCGACACGGTCAAATTGATTTCATTCTCATCTGCGCATGTCAGTGGGATCTTTCGTCAGAGTCGCCTGAGTACTCACAATCCGTGACGCCTTGCCAGTAGAAGTTGGATTGGGCGGTATTGAGATCGGTGCCCACAAATTCAAAATCTATCTCGTCTTGTACGTCCGAGAAGAGGACAAAGGCGGACACAACACCTGCGCCTCGACTTGTCTTCATAGTCGCGCTAACCTTTCCATACCACACGTAATGTGAACTAGATAGAAGTGTTCCAGATGCACTTGCCCCGTCTTCTGCCAAGGTCAAGATGACTGCGCTATTGTCCGGCGTTAGTAAGGGCGTCCCTTGTGACACCCAGTTGGCCTTTGACGCATCTCCAAGAAATTGTGTGTTTGCTGTAATCCCGTCCAACGAAGTCAACTTGTAGTCCTGGCTTTGGCATACGGGTGCTGGCACGCAGGAGTCGAGAGAATTGGAATATCTGATGTCGCAGCCACCGAGACAATATGCTCCCACACCGCATTGGCCGTATTCTGGAGAAGGACACCGGTCAGCATCTCGTCATGGGGCGGCAAGTCAGAAAGACTCACGCGAACAACAGGGGCTTGACTCTGGGCACAGGTTGCCCTCTCCACACATTATTCCACCAGATACTCCATTGCCCGCTTGACTGCTTGATTGCCCCTGGGCCAAGACTGAGGAGACAGAGTAGAGGGCGGCCGCGGCAGCAGCCCGAAGGTAAACCATGGCTTGTAACGAATGTTCAAAAGATGCTTAGCGAATGCGAATGTGAATGCTGTGTGTGAAATACTTTGTTGAAATCGGGCGACGGAGTGCTTGTCGCAGGGGTTTCGTCGTTGGTGCCTCCTGCCGATCCTGATGCGAGGGGTGAAGAAGGAACAAGGATATTATTAGATGGCGTGATATAACGAAAGACAGAGACTTGATGCACCAAGAAGATCCAGCTGAACGAATGTAGGGATGATTAGCACTGCTGTCGTCGTGGGTTGAAAAGAAAACAAAGAACGAGAGAGCCAAGAGATGGTGGAGAAGGAATGCGCTAGGAGGATTGAATACGAACCGGCGTGGTGGCTGCTAAATTTGGATCGGCCGCTCACGGGCCTGGCCAAGACTTTTTGACACCTTTCAGGAAAACATCGACTTTCCCATGAAACTATCTTTAAAAACTCGCTCGTGATCGAGTCCGTCAATAGAATTAATCCAGATTATCATGATACTCTATCGTGATGAAGATTCGGGAGCAAAGGAACCTTGATGATATTTATTCATTCCCTGTCCGTCACGGGGACAAAGCTCGTTGCTATTACCAGAACGACTTATGATGAATAACTGCATTGATAAAATCAAACATTTCTCTCCGAGTTCCGGACTCCATACATCTCGTCCAAGCAAGGCATGCACGCCCTTTGATCTTCATCCTCAACGATACTTCTCCTCATCTATCTCTGCAAGTCTTGACGGCAACAACCTTGCACTTAATCCATACAGGTCATCAATGGCCGCCACCTGTCCGCGTCAACCTTGTTCGGTACCCCAATCTGCATAATGTGCTCCTCGGCTTGGATTCGCAAAACCTTGACCTCAAGTCCTAGAAGGAATCCCTCCTTGCCCTCCTCATCCCGATTCATCTCATTGACAGCCACAAGTTCTGCCTCCATCTGCAGCGGACATTCCATAATTCGAGATGGCTCGACTACCTCGGATGCCGTAGGTGTCAGTTGAGCCAACGCAAACATGTCTTTAACATGACGGTAGCCAGCAGCTGTCTTAAAGGGGGACATGTCCTGTCTGCCCGTCGTCTTCGCAAGTGCATCAACCTAGGCGACCATAGTGTCCGACGGTAGGTTCAGGACGCATTGCTTGCTCCGCTGCAGGTTGATGGTGGTCTGGGACTGTGCTGCTAGACCCAACATGCAGCGTTGACTGAGCCACCAGGCTGAGGACATTGGCGCGAGGTGTGTTGTTCCATCTTGGTTTGTAGTCGAGATGATGATGACGGCACTCTCCCAGTAGAGGATTGCGGGGTCGATGGTCTGATGCATTTTTTCAGGTTTGAATTCGTTTGATCGGATACAGAGCGATTGAATTGACTGCTTTTGTCACTTTCTCAGCTCGATGTCTCGGCTATGCCGACTGAACAGAGACATGTTGCACTGTGTTATATGTTTGACGACATGGGTCATTCCAAAAAGAATGCTCTACTCTGGCAGCAAAGTTTCTGAAGGGACAGGCCTGCTTGAAGAAATAAGAGGAACCAATGAGGTACGTCCAGAGGTAGAAGGATCACTGGACTATGTAAGGCTGGTGCAGAGCCAGATATCTACTATGGCCAAGGCCCACTATTCTTGTTGGCTAGGCAATCCCTGTAAACTCTTGGCAGCAATGCTCTGGCGCCAGAACCTTAAGTTGGAAAGAACGGGCCGGGACTTAGCGCGTGCCAAAACCATGCCATTTCTTGGCACGCTTGGTTCCCATCACATCTGTGATGAATGTTGAACGAGATAACCGTACTTGGAACTTCAAATATTTGCATGAGACGGTTGTAGTAAATGCTATTGGGATTCCACACGTTTTCTATCATTTCAAATCGACCAAATCTGTGGAATCATTGAAGTTCCAAAATTCAGACAGACTTGATAATTTTTCGATTATGACGGTTTCATGCCATTCCAGAACAACTGTAAATGGTATGTAGAGATTTGGTATACAATCTCCATGGAGTTGCTACTGTACTTCAAATGCCATGTTTTCTTTGGTAGTACTGATGCCACGATCAAATGGTGGTGAAAGCGGGCCGCAATGCCAAGCAACTGCAAAAGTTTTGCACATGCTAATTTGAAAGCTTGCTTTCTCATTACTCAAGACTGAAATCACAAAATGTTCGACAACCATAAATTTAAAGTTGACCAATCAGGTCTTCAGATGTCGTAATTTTGAAGCTAAAACTCACCTTATTTCTTCATTTCTAAGCTAAAAGCGGGTGTACACGGGTACGTCCAAAAGAGGAAGCTGGAAAAGAACTTCAAAATCCTTAAATCTATCTTTTTTAATTCCTTTTCTTTTATCAAAAACTTGATAATAAAGTAAGTTTATAAAGTTATAGAGTTAATTATATACTTTCAAATAATGTAGCGTAGACGAAATTTGATATCGTATTTATAAAGATATACTAAAAATTAAGATTTTTATTTAAATTATCGAGCTTGCGAGAAGAGCCCCTCCGGTAGGAGCCCTCGGAGAGCCCTCGGAGAGCCCTCGGAGAGCTCTCGGAGGGTTAGGGGGTTTTAGGGGGTCTCCCCTAAGTATATCAACTATCTCTCTCAATTCTCAGGGTTAAACCCCTTAAAATTCCTTAAACCCTTCGGAGCTCTTTAAGGGCTCTTCGAGGGCTTCTATCGGAGGGGCTATCAAAGCAAGCTCGAAATCAATCAAATATCATTAAAAATATGTGTTGGGGCGCGGGCTTCTCAGTAGTGAAAAGCTTGCCGAGTACTAGTTTTTAACTATATTTGATTCTCAGGGAGACCCCCTAAAACCCCTCGGACCCTTCGGGGGCTCTTTAAGGGCTCTCCGAGAGCTTGTATCGGAGGGGCTGTCAAAGCAAGCTCGAAATCAATCAAATATCACTAAAACAATCAAATTTCGAGCTTGCTTTGACAGCCCCTCCGATACAAGCTCTCGGAGAGCCCTTAAAGAGCTCCGAAGGGCTTAAGGGATTTTAAGTGGTCTAACCCTGAGAATCGAGAGAGACATCATATTTCACTGAGAATCGAGAGAGACGTTGTAATTTATTTGATATACTCAGGGGGAGACCCCCTGAAACCCCCTAACCCTCCGGGGGCTCTCCGAGGGCTCTCCGAGGGCTCCTGCCGGAGGGGCTCTTCTCGCAAGCTCGATAATTTAAATAAAAATCTTAATTTTTAGTATATCTTTACGAATACGATATCAAATTTCGTCTACGCTACACTATTTGAAAGCGTATAATTAACTCTATAACTTTATAAACTTACTTTATTATCATATTTTTGATAAAAGAAAAGGAATCAAAAAAGGTAGATTTGAGGATTTTGAAGTTCTTTTCCAGCTTCCTCTTTTGGACGTACCCGTGTGCACCCGCGTTTAGATCGAAAATGAAGAAATAAGGTGAGTTTTAGACTGAAAATGGTGAAATCCGATGATCTGATTGGTCACTAGCCTCTTAGCGTAGCACCCATTCTCGTTTTCAAGTCTTGAGCATTGAGAAAGCAAGCTTTCCAATAATTAAATTTCGAGCTTGCTTTGACAGCCCCTCCGATACAAGCCCTCGGAGAGCTCCTTAAAGAGCCCCCCGAAGGGTCCGAGGGGTTTTAGGGGGTCTCCCTGAGAATTAAACAGTCAAAAACCAGTACTCGGCAAGCTTTTCACTACTGGGAAGCCCGCGCCCCAGCACATAAATTTTCACGTGCGTTTATTTCCCTGATCTCCTCGAGGTCTTGCTCTCTCTGTCTTCCTCTCCAGCTGGGTCATTGCAATCATATCAAAGCGTTCCTGAGACGCGAAAGTTCTTTTGAGCTAATCAGTGGAGGCACTGCCAGCCACAGACCTGTTTATTGTCTGCTTCAGCTCCTGAACGACCTCTTCAAGATGCAGAGAATGGCAGCAAAGCCAGCTTCAAGTACAATCAAGCTCTTGACTTTCCTGAATCCAAAGAACTTAACCACATCTTCCTAAAACCACACATAGCAGAGAAAAGTACATCGAATCCCGACCATCTCGTGCATTCGTCCAGACCTGAGAACCATGGCTTCGTTAACAACCTCACAGATAACGTGTTCAATCCACGGGACGAGCTTGGACATTTATCATGCTCGTCAGCCCAAGATGATCCAGCCAGCTTTGACGGCTTTGGATTCCACAGTATTGGGGACGGTACAAGCCTAGACCCTTGGTGTGAAGCTTTAGGCCCCAATTTCGACCTTCTACCCAAATTTCAAACAGAGAGTCAGTCACTCGATCTCATCCTGGATCCTCGTGCAGCAGAGTGGTCGATGCCATGGGAAGAAGGTTTGCCTGATACCGCGAGCTCCAACGCTCTCCCCGTCAGTCCAGGCAACAGCTACCAGCCAACGCCTAATCTGACAGAGTGCTCAACGCCCACTCCTTTCTTTATCTCTAACAGCCCCCAAAATGCTACAAGTAGACGCATCAACGGCTTCGACACAAAGGACCAGCGTCGGCACGCAACACTATCACGATCTCGGGCTGCAGATCGTTTCTTTCTGTACGGCGTCTTGACGACAAAGCTTTTCTGCCGTCCGTCGTGTGCATCCCGACGTCCTTCAAGAAGGCACGTTGTATTCTTCTCTTTTCCTGGAGCCGTCGAGGCTGCTCGGCAGGCGAAGTTTCGGCCGTGCAAGCGCTGCAACCCCGAGACATCGGGCACAACAAATACCAGTGTCCTTGCAATTTCCCAAGTTCTTCGCAGCATTATTGACGTGACGTTCGAGCAACCGAGTGAAGCGAGAAATGGAAGTCTGAAGTTGGAATCTTTGGCTAAGTCAGCAGAATTGAGCACCTTCCATTTCCATCGCTTGTTCAAAGCAACGACACAGGTTACACCAGCGGACTTCATCACTGCCTGCCATGCATTTGCTCTCCAGGATGATCTCTGCACACAGTCGGTACGAGAACCTAGACTGGACCCAAATGCGGTGAGACTTTCACCGCGCTGGAGTGAACGAACGGCACGAAAGGCCCCGGGTGGTCTGAGGCCTGTAGAATAGCAAATGAAGCAAAGTGAACGTCGATTGAGTACTGCCGCGTCTCCGCACCGGTGGGAGATCTTGAAGTCGCATACTCGAGAAACAAGAAAACCCCAAACGTGACTGTGCACGCTATAATCCTCTTGCAAGGCTTTGATTCACAGATAGGCAATCACTTCTGGACAGCAACAAGATCGGAAGATAATGCGCAACGCCTACAACAATGTGTCCAAGAGCTTGAGAAGAAATGCCAAGACCGGGATGTTGAGCTGCCTGCTGACGTGCTCCCGGTTCTTTGGAGAGCGGAACGGTGGCTGAACCTCACACATGACAATGCGTTAGAGTGACCAGGGTAATATTCTATTTTAAAACTCTGGACACTCCACTCGATCATAGTAGCATAGGTGGTACAATCAACCAGCAAATCGAACCTGTGTAGAGTAATTCCAGACTCGGCTTCCGGTTTCATCATTGCTACAGCAATCCATCTGACCCGCACCCCCTAGACGCACGCCTTCCAACGCTCCAAACACATACATCTAACGTATCATGCATGCGGGTCTTTGAAACGGCAGTGGTGTGCATCATCCTATAATCTTCGTCCGTTTGAGAGAATGAAGTGGCTAGAAGACCTGCAGGCTTGCGAGGTCCTGGGGAAGGCACCGAGATGCGATAGGTGGGTATTTCAAGCTCGCTGCTCAAGCTCACCATTACAATGATGTGGCACAAACAGGCTCCAGACCTATCCATACCCCCAGCGTCTGTTGGGCAAGGGTTGAGACGGCCCCACTTTTTGCTTTCGGTCACGCATGCTGTGCATATACCGCGCTAAGGAGGTCCACCTATCGCCCGGCGTGGCAAGAGGTTGGCGATTTCAGGGAGTCGGCAGGTCTATTCCGGTGTCTGATATTACCACACCTTCTCTATCATTGCATCGCCCCCCAAGGGGTTTTCTGGAAACACCGCAGACAACAACCTCTTTGCTGCTTTAAACAAAATCGACATGCATATGAAACTCAGCAATACGCAGCGCATTCCGGATCAAGGAGTTCCATATTTTGTTGGAGCTAGGAAGCACAATTGGCGTTATGAGAATAGGATGGACCAAATTGGTTTAGAGGCTCCGACAAATTCAAAAGTGAAACTCGTGGTGTCAAAATTCGAAACCTGTACGATGCATGCTGAGAACTGTGGAACCTAGTACAAGCCCTCCAGAATTAAGGGAGAGTCTGTGTTCCTTTCCACCAAGATGCGCGAGGCATCATGGTGCACCCAAAATTGCAGTTGGGGCCTGTGTAAGA